AAATCACTTAAACGCACATAACTCATTACAAAATATTGATATCCATACATTTAGCAAAAATATTGCTCTTATATACATAAATTAAACTATAAAATTGTTTTACGATCGGTCCATATTTGGTCATAGCTCTCATACTAGGTCCCTCCAGAAAATCACTTAAATTCACAATATTCATTACAAAATCATGATATAGATACAGAGTTTTGAAATTTTGTCTTTATATACATAATTGGTCATGGGTTCAGCAGACTGTATACTTTTACAAGTATAACTTTACTTGGGTCCAAATTAGGTCCCTTTGTAATCGGTTAGGTTAGTTGGTCATAGCTAACATACAAGGTTCTTTTACGAAAATCTCTTAAACGCACATTACTCATTACCAAATAAAGCTATTGATACAAAATTTGGCACAATTATTAGTTTGGTATACAAAAATTCTATTTCAAGATTTTTTCACGATCGGTTCATAACATGGGTGCGGTCGGCCTCATATAAGGTTCCCTTCTGAAAATCACTTAAACAGACATTACTTATTACTAAATTACTATATAGATACTAAATTTGACTGAAATATAGCTTTTATGAACAGAAATTTTGCTTAAAAAATTTTTTACGATCGGTCTATAATTGGTCATATCTCCCATACTATGTCCTGCCCCTAAAAGCGCTTTAACCGTATTTAACTAGTTGCAATATTAATTTGTGTAGAAAAAAATTATATATATGTATTTTGAAAATCCTTAAATCTTTCACACACATGCATAAATGCAAATTACTAAATTTCGCTAAGCGCTATAAAAATATGAAGACAATGGCGTTTGTAATGTTCAATAAATCATGGAATTGGAATAGATTTAAGCTGTTTAAATCTTGGGATTTTTTGCTATTTAAGAAATGAGAAAACTTATTTCTACAAATATTTGATCAATTAGAAAAATATTAATATAAAAGTAGCTGGTGGAGGGTATTTAAGATTCGGCTCTGCCAATCACCACCATCAGTGGTGATAGAGGGTATATATAAGTTTGTCATTCCGTTTGTAACACCGAGAAATATTCATTTGAGGCCAAACAAAGTATATATATTCTTGGTCCTTATGAAATTCTGAGTCGATTTAGATATGTCCGTCTGTCCGTCTGTCTGTATAAAACACGCTCACGTTAAAACGAAGCAACCGAACTTTATGAAATTCACCCAAAATGTTCATTGATATCCTAAGCAGTTTGGTATTGAAAATCAGCAAGATCGGTGAAATAGGTTCAGAGTTATGAGTAAAAATTTGAGACAACCTCAAAAAAAATTGTGCTTTTTCACATATTTATTTATATTTTTTACAAAAACTACTGCAGATAAATTGATGAAGTTTGTCAGAGATATAACTCTTGGTGCCAGGATCAACATTGTTAAAAATCGGAAAAATCGGCTCACAATTACACATACCTCCCATACAAATTTACATATTCCCCGAAATTAATTTATTGTTAATAACTTCCGAAATAATGCCGATATCTTTACGAAATTTTACAAATTTAAATTCTATGCTCCCATATAAGGTTACCTTCAGAAAACTTTTAAACGCACATAACTCATTACCAAATAACGATATTCATACAAACATATATTGCTTTTATCTACAGAAATCTTACTGTACATTTTTTCACGATCGGTCCGCAATTGGTCATAGCTCCCATACAAGGTCTCCTTCTCAAAATCACTTAAACGCATATTTCTCATTACCAAATAAAGTTGTCACAGAAATGATACTGTAAAATTTGTTTACGATCTGTAATTTGTAATTTGTTTACGTCTGTAATTGTCACGAATATTGCTTTTATCTACAGAAAACTTATTATAATTTTTTTTACGGTCGATCCATAATTGGTCATAGCTCCGGTTTAAGGTCCCCTTTCGAGAATAACTTAAACGCATATTACTAATTACCAAATAATGATATACATAAAAAATTTGGCACAAATATTTATTTTTGAATTTTGTCATACATATAGTTTGGGAATCCACTGAGTTGAAAATCGAAATCAGTCCACAATTTCTTGTACCACCCATAGGGATTAAAAAATTGATTATTTTTCGCAAAAAATTAAATAAAAACTGTTGCTAGTTGTACGCCATTCCCACTACACTATTAACTAGCTTCGTCATTGTTTGCAACTAATGTTCAGATAGAAATTCTCTTTCCTGTTTGTGTAAAAAATTGTTTTTAACCCAAGATCAAATAAAATGTGCACATTGAGAAAGTGTAACTGTTAATTTCTTATGCTATTCAGCAACAAACAGAAAATAACATTGGCATTTTTATATGAAAAATATTAGTTAACGAAGGACAAAATAATGAAGTGTTGTAGTGGATGGAAGGGAAGAATTAACAAACTGAACATTGCAGGTTCGATTCCTGGCCGATTTATCTTTTTTGTCATAAATAATTAATTTTTTTTTAATCAAATTAAGTGTCGAAATTCGGTTCAACAAATTTAAAAGCAATTTTTTTTATTTTTTTCATAGGATCAATAACGTTGAAAATCTATTGTACCTCCCGTACAAAATTATATAAGTTTTATAAGTATAACTATTACCATACATTTCTCTCACACATAGAAATTATTTTAAATACAGATTATAAGTTAAATTTAGTACGCTCTGTAACAGTCTGTTAAGTGGTAGTTTTGTTTTTAATTGCATATTGTAAGGCGTAATGAAAGTAAGTCTAAAATATTAAGGTAAATTTGAATCAATCCATAAAATTTGATAATTTATGAAACCAGTTTAAGGTGGAGGGTATTTAAGATTCGGCAGAGCCGAATATCGCACTCTAACTTGTTTTTATACCCTCCACCACCATCAGTGGTGATAGAGGGTATATATAAGTTTGTCATTCCGTGTGTAACACCAAAAAATATTCATCTTAGACCCAACAAAGTATATATATTCTGGATCCTTATGAAATTCTGAGTCGATTTAGCTATGTCCCTCTGTCTGTCTGTCTGGTTAAAACACGCTCACGCTAAAACTAAGCAAATAAAATCAACCAACTGAGAGTATTCATTGTTTTCCTAAGCAGTTTGGTATTGAAAATCAGCAAAATCGGTTCACAACGTAAAAAGTTATGAGTAAAAATTTCAGACTACCTCAAAAAAATTAAGTTTTTTTCCCCAATTCTTGAGTAGTTTTCTCAGAAACTACCAAAGATAATTCGACAAATTTTGTCACAGATTATTTTGTCCATCTATAGATTAATTATGTTTAAAATTGTAACAATCGATCTAAAATTTCCCATAGCCCCCATACAAAGGTACATATACCCTGAAATTAATTTATCGTTAATAACTTCCTCAAATATATCGGTATCAACACAAAATTTTGTACATATTGACTTTATATGAACAGGAATTAAAACTACCGACTTAGATCTGTATCGGTCCACAATTGGTCATAGCTCCCATATAAGGTCCACTTTCGAAAATCACTTAAATGAACATATTTTATTGAAAAATAAAGCTATCGGGATAAAATTCGACATGAATATGTTTTGTATATACATAAATCATTATACGGAATTTTTTTCCGGATCGGTCCATAATCGGTCATAGCTCCCATATAAGGTCCACATCCGAAAATCACTCAAATGCGCATAATTCATTGATTAATAAAGATATCAGGGTAGAACCCGAGGTGAATATGTTCTGTATATAGATATAAATCATTCAGTGAAATTTTTTCCGGATCAGTTCACAATTGGTACTAGCTCCCATATAAGGTCCACATCCTAAAATCGCTTAAACAAGCTTAATTCATTGATAAATAAAGCTATCGGGATAAAATTCGATGTGAATATGTTTTGTGTATAAATATTAATTATTTTACGAATTTTTTTTTTTCGGATCGGTCCATAATTGGTCATAGCTCACATATAAGGTCCACATCCGAAAATCACTTAAATGCGCATAATTCATTGATAAATGAAGCTATCAGGGTAAAACTCGACGTGAATTTGTTTTGTATATGTAAATCATTCGTGAAAAATTTCCACATCGGTCCATAATTGGTTACATTCCATATAAGGAATTTTTTCAGCATCGGTCCATAACTAGCTCCCATATAAGGTTCACTTCTGAAAACCACATAATACCACATAATTTATTATTAAACTCGACATGAGTATGTTCTGTGTATAGATAAATCATTTTGAATTTTTTTTTTCGAATTGGTACATTATTGGTCATAGTTCCCATATAAGTTATTGGCAGGATCGGAACATAATAGGTCGAAGAATAATCGGTCGATATCTGAAAATCACTTAATACAAAAGTTTCTTGTCCTAATCAAAATTAGTTACATACATACATGCATAAATAAGTTACAAAATGATAAATAGTATCTTAATTACGGAAACAAAACATGTGCCGGGTTTTACAGTTCTCCATAAGGAAAATAAAGTACTTTAGTACTTAGTATGTACTTTAATACTTAAGTAAAATTTATTTCTTTAGTATAAACTATATATTCGGCCCTATAACATATTTATTTTGGGTTTTAATAAAAAGTAGTTTGCAAGTGGTGGGTATTTAAGATTCGGCAGTGCCGAATATAGCAATCTAACTTGTTTTTCTTACATTTTCCAATTTTGAAACGAGTTCGCAGTATGTATGTATAATTAGATTCGAAGAATTTTCGCAACGAATTTTTGTCGGTCGACTGGTATATATGCATATAAAAATTAATGTGTCTTTGTTTGTATGTTTGAATATTATAGACGAATAACGGCTGAACCCATTTTCTTGAAATTTTCACGGTGTCTTCCTGTATGTGTGGAAGAAGCTATAGGCTACTTTTTATTTTGAAATTTTAAGTGAGCGAGAAGCCACACCCACATACAAAATGAGTATGTAATGTTACACCGTACTCCTCTAATGTAAAATTTCTATAAGCACAAAAAACAATATATTCAATAATAATGTTAATAATACTATGTTTTTAATATTTAGGCTTATTTAAACAACAGGATCTAATGCATACAAGAGCGGAAATACCTACAGAAATGTACATACGTCAAGTTACACCTGATTCTTATAGACAAGTTTTGCGAGCGATTAGACAGAAGGAAATACACAAAATTATTGTTGATACAAATCCTGAAAACATTGAATTATTTTTTCGTGCAGTAAGTACATATACAAATATATATGTATACTTTTTTAAATCCTTTATATATTATTTTTCTATATATTTTCAAGATTTTGCAACTTCAAATGAATGATTATCGGTATCATTATATGTTTACAACATTCGTAAGTACATGCGTTTCTAAGTACATTAGGGTGGAATTGAAAAATATGGTGGGATGTAAATCTTAAATGTGATTATATCTGGAAAACTATAATAGTGACGTCCTTAAAGAAATTATATGATCTACATATATTAATGTTTAGGACAAAACTGGCACCACTTCAGTAGCGGTCATGTTGCCACTCTGGTTATTATTAACCAAAATTGGTTATTTTTATTTTGCATGTGTACATGTGAATTATTTTTTCGTTTTGGGTATTTTTTGCAAACAATTGAACTAAATGCTGTTTGCTTTTATTCTAAAAATAAAATTAAAAAAACTTCTTTTATCTCTAGTTTTAAATCAACTATGTAAATATACATATTGTCCCTGTTTTGAATTTTGGTAATATGTGGAATTTTTTTTTTACTATTCGAAATTTTTTTATTACTGCAATTTGTACATCTACTGGTTATACTTGTGTGCACAAAGGTATTTTTCGATATCTTAATTGGTTTAGGATTTAGCAAAAGTACCTATGCGTTTTCCACATATTAAATGAGTTGATTTAAATCATAACAAAACCGTAATATTATTTTATTTACACTAGCCAATCTAACACCGTTAATAATGGATCCTCTCTCTCCGTTTGGTGCATCCATTAACTTAAATTAACTTTTTGGGTCGATTTAAACTCGTCCGTCCTTCCGTTAATATTTCTATTGGAACTTTTAATGTAAAGAACTCGCGGTACTTTTATGAAAAAACGAAGTAGGCTGTATTTCGCATTTTGATTTTTATGGAATTTGGTGGGAATGGTCTAAGTACTTAGTAGATTATGTCCTCCAAATTAAATTTAAAGTATAATTGCAACTTCTATACCTATTTGAAATTTTGCATAAACAGATACTGTGCTAATTTGCCGAAATTCTAAGATAAATGATTTAATAAGAATTAATAAAGTATTTTCTGCTAATTGATGCAAGAATAGTATCACAATATCTTTAAAGTATTAATCAACTGATATTTTTAAGTAACACGGCTAAGGAAAATTAAATTGTATTGTCTACAAAAGTTGTAATAACATCTAAACTCGTACGACGAACAATAATCGCGATATATGCAAAGATTTGATATTCATGACCTTTGACTTCTACTAAATATCTCACCATGACTTTTAGTTTTTTATTAATATTTTTTAAATGATGTTGTATACTTGTTTTTATTTTACCGCCTTAAATTCAAAATTTTGGTCAATTTATCGGATAATGTGGATAGATTACATTTACAAAAGTTATGAATGTAAAACTGAAATATTTTGCCAAAATATTTTTAGTTGACCCAGTTTGCTTGGTATTGAAAATGTGAAATATCGGTCAACAATTTCACCTAGCTCCCATAATATGCCCTATTCAGAAAATTACTATATTGCTCAAAAAAGCATGTATAGCGATGTAATTTAATATAAAAAAGTTTTATTGGAAATGTATTTGTCAAAGTTTATGAGGATTGGTATATAATTGACTCTATCCCTCATAATGTACTGCAATATAGCAACAAAATTCAACATAATCAAGTTTTAAAGGAACTAAAATATCTCTGTCAGATTTTATGAGAATTGGTCCATAATTGATCATACGTCTCATATAAGATCCCCTACAGAAAATTACTTTAACGCTCATAACTGTCTTCATAATACCAGTTTAGCGACGAAATTTAACATAGTTACAAGTTCCACTTCAGAAAATGAATTTGTTATTTTAATGTCCAAATTTACATTATAGTATACGCACAATTGGAACGAACGACGAATTTTTTAGAACGAATATTCGTCGTCAGAAATAGAACACACTTGGGTATATGAAAATGTACACAATCATTGCGTATGACGAAATTCGTCGTACGTAACGAACTATGCGATAGGTTAATTTCTATTTCTTACGCAGACGAACGACGAATTAATTGGGGAAAATTGTTTTAAGACCAATTCCGGTAGCCCGAATTTGCTGAAATTTGGCGGTTGTGAGTACAGCTAATGACAATACAATATTATAATCGAACATTCGAAATTATATTCGAAAATTCGAAGTTATGTTTGAAAAATGTTTTATAATCTCTGGGTCATAAAAACTAAAAATGAAATTTTCGAAAATTCGAACTTAAGTTCGAAAGATTTTTAAAGCCATTAAAACCAGTTATCGTGGCCCGAATTGTCTGAAATTTGGCAGTCTGGAGTACACTTGATGACACTACAATGCTATGTTGGAATATTTAAAATTAAGTTCGAAAATTCGAAGTAATGTTCGAAAAAATTTTGAAGCTGTTAAAATAATCTAAAAATTGAGGATATTCACAAAAATATAATTTTAGTTCTTTTCGAGGCCAATTTCTTACATTTTCTAATTTCGAAATAATGTTCGAATAAATTTTAAAGCTGTTAAAATTATCTCAAAATCGTGGAGATTCACAAAAATATAATTTTTGTTCCTTTTTCTTACTTTTTCCAATTTCGAACAAACAAATTTTGAAACGAATGCGCAGTACGAATAATTTGATTGTGTTCCATTCGACGAATTTACGCAAGGAATTCTTTTCGATTAGTTCGTCGTGCTATACGAAATTCGTCGTTCGTCCCAATTGTGCGTATACCATTACATGTTAACATGAAACAAATAAAAATAATTTTGTTTACTTTTTTCTTAATTTTATTATTTTTTATTCGAATTTTGGTTAGAAAAAAAATTTTGTTGTGGCAACACTGGTCATGGCACCTCCAATATACATAAAAATTGCCTGTTTAAGGGTCAACCTTTAATAAAACCCGGCTCTGTTTTTGGATTTTTTAATTTAAATGTCTTAATTGTTTTTGTTTTCAATTTATGATTATTTAAATTTACAATTGTTTTGTTGTTTTCATTTATTTAGTTTTATATTTGTCAATTTTTTTGTTCTTGTTGTTCATTCTTAATGATTTGTTCTGTGTTGCAACACATGTTGTTGATTAATTTTGATTTTAATTTTAGTGCTAATAGATTGAAAGTATGTAATTACAATGTGTTGTTTTGACGCAACAGATGTTGTGTATGTAAGTAAAAAGAATAATAAGTAAAAATAAAAAATAACCCTTGATCGGCCCTTATTTCACAATTTTTTCAGTAAATTACGGAAACGTCCATTAGTCGCATAAATACTCATAAACACAAATCCCTCCACATATTCAGAAAATCAGTTTTTCATCAATAAATCATTTACTATATGAAAACTCAAAACATATCCGTTTCGAGAAAAGCTTTTTATACCCACCATCAAAAAAGGTGGGGGTATATTGATTTTGTCATTCCGTTTGTAACACATCGAAATATTGGTCACAGACCCATAAGACAATCTAGCCAATGAAATTTTACATAAGTAAGTCTCTTACGAGCAACATCTAGCAAATTTTATAATTGACCCTACCCTAGGGTTGCCAGCCTGGCTAGACTTGGCTGGATTGTGCAGCTTTTTTGATGCTTGTCTAGTTTCAAGCTAAAATTTAATTTGTCCAGCTAAATAAAATATTTTTAGTACACTGCAATAATTTTTATGTTATCTTTGTCAAATCATGTTAGCCAACACTGCTTGTACATTTGTTATACAACTAAGTTATGATTTCCCTTTTCTGTCATCATGTCTCAACACTTGAACAGCTGATGTCGTAATAAGTATTAGGTCTGTTCGCGTACTCGATAATTTGTAACAATTTGCAACAATTGTTATTGGATTCCGTTCGCGTACTTTCGAAAACTTGCAACGAGAGAGTAAGAGAGCGGTAAAAATTACAGTTCGTTGATAGAGATTTTTTTGATTTTACTGGATATTTTTTCCCCAGTAAAAAATATCCAACTTATATTCACAACATATGTTTGAGTTATGAATATGTAAACAAACCAAAGAAATCAAAAATTTGGTAAATTTTAAATTTTTTGAAAGAAATATATAAATTAATAACACACGAATATTAAAAATTATTTGTAATTAGATTTATTTTAATTTTATTTATCATAAATTAGTTTTTAAAAGAGTTTATTTATCATGAAAAATCATAACAAATATTGTCAATCTAGCGTTTTTAAAACAATTTAGTTTTGTGTAAATTATTATTTTAATAATATGTTTGTATCATGAAGTTTTAAAACAATAATATATTTTTAATGATACTACATGTTTTGTTAACTTTAAATATCCATTTATTTATAGGTAAAATCAAAGTTACAATTATTTGTTTTTTAGTGTTTTGTTAGCGATTGAGATTTCAGCAAAAGGGCATTACCAATCTTTGTTTATAAAAAAAAAAAATGGATTTTGCGTATTTTTTTGGATATTTCTTTGATTGAGAGTAAATTAAAAATTACTCTCTATCATAAAGTTACTGTATATTTCTTACAGGAAAGTACGCGAAAAGAAATTATTGCGAGCGATAGTCAATTTCTTTACGTACAGCTTACGTACTTATGATTTTTAAAATTTAAAACTTCAAAAATGGAGCTTTTTCACATATTTTGCTCTAAAAAACTAAGTTGACGAAGTGATCGGGGAAAACTAAAAATATATTCGTACTCTGTGGACAAAACAAAACGGAATTGGTATATGAGAACCCCTGCATTTTTTTGGTGTATCACTGTGAAATTATTTACACAAAACCAAAATTAGCATCTTCTCAGTATTTTTTTATGTCCAGCTTTTTTTGTTTTGTCCAAAAAAGAATCTGGCAACCCTACCCTACCCCCATATAAGGACCCCTCCAGATAAATACTTTAACGCTCATTACTAGCTTAAAAGTAGAAGTGTAGAGATGAAATTTAACATAAGTAAGTTTCCTACGAGCCAAAACCAAAGAAATTTTTATAGGAACGTAAATTTTCCTACCGGAAAGTATCGGGAACTGATATTCGATGTAGACCTGTTTATATGAACCAAAATAGGTCTAAAAAAATTATGAAAAATTTTATAAAAACGGTCAATAATTCACCCTACCTCTCTTTA